TCTCTAGTTGTGTGACAACATCAGCACACCACTATTAAGTTTTTATTATGAACTAGAAACCTATTGTGAACTATGTCCGCGTTCAACTTTATTATTTTTAGTAGGCAATCAGATGAAAAAGTATAACTCAAATTTGTATGAAGCCCACTGGCCGAACTGGTCTTACATGTCTCAATAATTTTACGATTTTCTCTTTCGTTTCAAAAATTGTTATTGCTGTCGTATTCGGATTGTTATCATCTTTGTTGTTTATTCATTCAATTAAATAATCTCTCATACACATATTTTATATTGACACAGAAGGTATGTAGGTATATTAGGGTGATCCGAAAATATTCCTAAAAATCTGGTTTTTGGAAATTTTCCTGCTGTCACTCTCAGGAATTATAGAAAAAGCAAAAGTAAACCGGTATTTTTTTGAAGTCGGTTCTTATTAATTATGTACTTATGTATGTACAAAAAGAAAGACATTCCCGAAACTTTTAAAATTTTAGGTGTTTGAAAAAATTATTGCTTTTTTTAATTGCAAAAATTTTTAAAAATTTTGACTTATTATTGAAATTTATTCACATAAATTCAGACAATCGCTGAGTTAAAGCTGATCCAAGTCAAAACTTGTAAAATGTTTGCTATTAAAAAAAAAATTCGAACCGAGCGACCCCTACATTTTTTTTTGAATTTTCGAGGACGTCTTTATTTTGCACATAGAACGAAATAAAAGGGTGCCCTATGATGCTGATATTTTAAGAAGACCCTAATGCACATTTAACTTTAAGTTTTTTTCTATTTTTAACCGACTTTACAAAAAGGAGGAAAGTTATCAATTCGTCGGAATATTTTTTTTTAATGTATTTTACCGCATAACTTTGGACCACGTTAACCGATTTCTATAATTCTTTTTTTAGAGGAAAGGTGGTATCCCACAGGTGGTCCCGTTCTAATTTTGTTTAAATCCGATCATTGTACCATGAAGAGATTAACGGTAATCTAAAATTTTTATATGTGAATTGAAGTTGGTTTTGTTTTTTGCTTAAAAATTACTTGTTTCATAACAGATCATCTTATCTCTTAGTATATTCAAAAGTGTTTACTTTATGTGGTTACGAACACTTGTCGAACGAACAGTTCAAATAGCTAATAAAAATTGTTAGTTAAATATGCATCATAATTATAATTTTTTAAAATTTCTGAAGGGTAGTACTCGATCAAAAAATATTTTTTTAACGATTTTTTAGCAAGTCTACGAAAAAATATACATATTCTCTTTACACATATAAAGTACATGAGAAACTTCAAACCCTTGGCGACACCATTAAACATTAGCCGAGTTTAAAATAAATTTTTTTTCGATATTCATCAGTTCTGAAGGGTGGCCGCAAAACAAATTTGGACTGCCCTAATGTGCATACCTATAAATATGTACACTAGTTATAGGCACTATAGGCATTCCACGCCGAGCGTCTCAGGCACACGATTACTAGCATCATGCACGCTATATGTAGAAACTGACAATGAGAAAAATATAAAAAAAAAATAACGCAAACAAGAAACTGTTGATAATTTTCATCAACAAAACAGCTCAATCGAATCTATCGAGGTTATCAATACCAAAGGCAAAAGCGAAAAAAATCACTAAAAATAAGCAAAAAAAAAAACTCGTGCTGGAATTAAAAACAACAACAGAGAGCGCGCATCAAGTGTCACCAGCCATGAGCCGCCGCCAGTATAGAGCAGCAGCCATTGCGAACCGGCAGCATTTTGAAACGGCTCGGAACAAGACAAGCAAGTGCTTTCGACAGCATAATTTTCAATTTCACAGCGTAGCACCCACCAAACACACACCGAGTAATTAAAACGCCAAAAAAAAAAAATATTTCACCGCATCCATGCGAACTGTACACGAGAGCGTATTCAAGCCCAAACTGATGGCTGAAACGAAATTCATTGTGGATATTCGACCTGTTAACCGCAATGCAGCAGCGCTATCCAGCGCAAATGCAACCGCCACCGCTGCTGCCGCCGCCGCTAATAATAACAACACGCTCCCTAGTCCATTAGCGGTAAACACAACGAATTTGGGTCATGTTGGTGTGGGTGTTGATGTCGGCACTGGAGCGCATCGTGGTCTTAACGGCAACGGCGTCGGCGGCGGCGGTGGCGGTGGTGGTGGCGCTGGCAATTCACGTAACTCCAGGGCGGAAGTGAATTGGCGTCGTGTTTTCACCGTTTCATCGCTGATTGTGTCGTTGCTGCTGATTAGCGGTTCAATTTATCTACATTTGCGACGGAAGCCACATCTCGGTCGACTGCGGCACGAACAGCAGCAGCAGCAACACATTTCAGTAGCCGGCGGTGTTGGTAAGTTTTGTTTGTAGTGTCAAAACTAACTAGAGATGTCTTAACTCAGAAACACCGTACGACTAATTGACTGAATGTTTGTAGCTGCAAAACGGGTTTACTGAGAAAGTGTTGGTGTTGTTTTTATTTTTCAACTGTGTGAAAAGTTATGATCTTCTTTAGTGCACTTGCTATGCTTTTTCGAACGTTGTTGTTGTTATATGTATATATGTATGCCGGTTCATTGCCGGCGGGCGGTAATGTACTTAGTTGGATTTGAGTTGTTTAAGATATTTGCACGTAAGTGGTAAGTGGTTTTAGTATTTGCTTATGAAAACGGAATGTTTTTGTGGAAGCGAGAGATGCATACAACTTAATTGGCAATATCCGAAATATAATGGTGTTCAATCGCAGTGCAATGCACTAAATTCGAAAAATTTCTTTAACGAGTTGGTTTAAGTACAGTTATGATAAAAAATTTTATTAACTTTTTATGAACTCTTAAAACGTATTTTTATATCATTGATGAAACTTTAACACTGAAATGGCATTATCCTGCGAATCATAAACAACTGTCGACCATATATCTACAGTAGCTGTAAAATTTAATTGCTCGTTAAATGCCATTGGCAGCAAATACGAATTTGGAATACAAAAGAAAGTTTAAGTAGCGGATATAGCGTGATGGAAATAAAAATTGCGTTCCTAGGCATACGAAGTAAAAAGATGTATGTACATGGGCGTAGCCATAATGAAATTTAGGGGTGGATGGGGGTTTCGAAACTATTAAGCTAGCATTTCAGGGTAATACGTTTTACATATAGGGGATGCTTGGAAGTTAGGGGGCTCAACCCACCTACCCGCCCCTTCTACCTTGATACGCCCATGTGTTATATGGCTATGCCCATGTGTTGCATGTATTTGGATCGTCTCTGTGAATAGTGCGTAGAGTATGGAAAATTACAAATGAAGAAATTTCTTTAGAGATTGTCTTCTGAAAACCGAAAATAAAAGTATTTAATATTTTACTGCGAAAAGTTTTTTATAGGTGAAATCTTTTTATTTTCATACTAAAGTGCTTCTGAGGCTCTTGAAATTAAAATCTTTATACTTTTAAAAATTCCTTAATTTTTTTTAAATTTGGTTTTACATATTCTCCTGCGACAGAAGAGAACCAAATGTCTAGCTTTTGTAAAGTGCTGAAAATTAGGGTTTCGTTTAACTAATTAGACGCGAAAACTGCCTAACTGAGAAATTAACTAACCGTCGATGAAAAAATGTCCTTCGTCAAATACAGATGTCCTGAATAACATATCAAAATTATCAAGTCGGTGCAGAAAATATCGAAAAAATTAATAAGTATGGTTCTTTGTGGGGGTTCATGACAAGAATATCCGTAGTGCAGTAGAGTGCCGTAGTAGCAATCTTTAAACTGAATTTGGCAGTAGCTTAAAACTTGCACTTTATTATAATAAAATTTAATCATCTACCAGACTGCATACTCAAAGAAAACCTCAAAAAAAAAAATTAAACAAATTTATAGCATATTCTCAAAAACTATTTTTTTGGCAAAAAATTTGTATGTGAAAAATTAAAAAAAAAATTAATATTTATTTTCATAGAGAATTTTGATGTGATGTATTTGTGTGATTATTTTCAAATTTTTTCTTCGTCCCGTTCTCGAGATATTTGGAAAACTATTAAATCGATTTGTTTTTGTGCTGTAACTTTTTTAAAAATGCATTAATAAAGCTAAAGTTTTATATTTATTTACTATTTATGTTTATGCATCAACACTAAAAATTTGAAACACATCAAACACGTGAAGTTTGAACCCCGTCCGTTTTGGTATGGAACGCCCCATATAGCCCTTGAGTCGTTAGCATTGCAAAGTGGTTGAAACTGTATTTTAATTAAGAACTAGCACACTCAAAAAAAGGTTGTCATCAGGACGATGCTACTTAGCCATCAACGTGAAACTTTCCGGTATCTATTTTTCCTCATAAATCATCTTAACTAAATGATAGTTTTCGTTGTTACATTGAAACCAGAAAGAACCAAAAAGTCTATACAGGTCTCAATTTGATATTGTTAACGGTAAAACTTGACTTTTTTCTCATCAACTTAATAACCAAAATACAAATCTAATATTTTTCAATACTCTTTTTATATTGTTAATGGTTATATTCAAACCGAAAAATTAAGCTGTTAAAATTTCCATTTTAACACAAAGCGTATTAAACTTATAGTGATCATTTTTTCTTGAGTGCATATACACGTTTGTCCTTGTAAAGCCATTACACTCTAGGAGTACTCTTAGCGTTCCCAAAGAACGATTACTACTGGCATTATAAACCATTTCGCTAGACATTACATTTTGCTTCTTGACTGCAAGAAAACCAACCACAACTATCAAATAGTTTATTCATAGATTTGATAGCCATTTAATGACCACTGGATTACTTACTCCACTCATTTGCATTGCATTTTCATATACCGTCCAGCCATGTAATCATAAAATTAATAGAGAGGCATAAGAAACCAGCAATAAAACCGACTGCAGTTGTTGCGGTTTAAATATTGTATTATAGATTCTTACATACATATGTATGTACAAACACACACATTAGTAGCATCTGCTTTACTCACATCCTCATTTACATTTTCTCATACATAGCTGCGGCTTTAGTTGCTCCACTTGAGGACAAGCACTTGCCACCAACCAGCGCATTCACTATTAACAACAAGCTGACATCATTGAAATTGCCATACTCACCAGCATTACAAACTCAACTATCAGCAACGCCACTATCGCCACAATCATCGACAATTCGAACACTAATCCGCAGCGATTTTACACAACCCATACCAGAGGAGAGCGTAGATTTCGCACAAACATTAGTAGTTGTGCATGCCAATAACTACAACAATAATGATGCTGCTACTATCACTGCGGATAATAATAATGGCCACGCCGTGTTGGCTACACTCACAGTGGGTAATACATTGCCGCCGCACCAACAGCAACTAACTATGTACTCGTACTTAGGCAATGAATTTCGTGTCAAAAACGTTAATGCAACACAAATTCAATCTCATCCACAGCATCAACACCTGACGCAATCACATCCGCAACCATATCCGCGCCGTTAGCATCCGCAAGGCCACCTTCGGTAGCTGCAACAACATCCGGCAACTCTTTTGCGACTCACAACTCTGGCGCAATGGCAACCACTTCAATGGTATCAATAGATTCAGCGCCAAGATGGAATGCACCTTCCGTTGTTACGGATACTCGTTCAAGGCATATCACCGAAGCTTGTATGCAATGCATTTGCGCCACGGCAACCCAGTGCCGCCCAGTCACATGCGGCAATAATATAGAAGACTGTGGCGTTTTTCGCATATCACAGCCCTACTGGTTGGATGCCGGCAAGCCAGCACTTGAGGGCGATGAGAGTTATGCCAGCAACACGACCACAAGTAAGTCACTTTCAAACAACAGCTTCCATGAATAAATACCTACACATGCACATTTGCGCGTACACTTATAATACATACAAACATACAGATATACATAAACGTAGAGCAGAGGTTCCCAAACTTTTTTTTCTCGTAGACCACTTTAAAATTTTTACTGGTTTCTTCTGAACGCGCTGCTACATTTTTACCATATTTTCAAAACTCAACAAAAAATTTTAAGATTAGATTCAACGATCGAATATGAAAGTTTTTACAAATAACACTTGCGGACCTTCCTAAAAGAGAGTTCGTTAAGCTATCAAAATACGCACTCGCTCTGAGGAGTTATATTTTTTAAGAGCACTCCAATTTAACTCATAAAAGAGGAAGTCTTAATTGATTGCTCTTTAATTCAGTTGTAGTGAGGAGGAAGATGGAAGTTTTATTCCTCAGTGAAGAATTTTTACGATCTCTGTCCTAAAATACACTACTCAAAAAAATTAGGGGAAGTTTTAAAAAAAGGAAATTAAAGGTAAATAAAACGGCTTTCTGTTCCATATGCGGATCTAACTTAAAAAATCTTTTTCAAGCCCGTGCACCAAAAAAAACCAAAAACTTCAAATCTGTTTTTTCACGCTATCTGTCAGGTTTACATTAGAACCGTAGCTCCTAAAAACTTTTAGCTAAAAAGTCTGTAAATTAGAACGTAAAAGCTTCAAAATACTTTTCTTAAAGTCTCAATGCGACTATTCTTCACGGAAATACAGCCTGTCAAAATTCACCGAAAAATTTTAATATTTGTTTTTTACTCCGTTAGTTTTTTTTATCTGCTTAGATTGCACTATGGGTAATTTTACCAATTTTCGTGGCCAAAAATCAATTATGACAACACAAATACGTTATTTAAAAAAAATATGATGAAAATTTGGCATACGCTTTCCAACATTTTTGCAAAAAAAAAAAACATTTAACCCCTTGACGACCGTTGGGTCGGTCAGTTTTTAATTTGTGTTTTTGTTGAAAAAGTTTGCATGCAGTTTTTTCGAAATATACATATATATTAAAGATAATATTTTTAGGTACGAAAAACGACTTTTCGCCAGAATTTTGGCCGGTAAAGCCCAGCCAAGATTTGTATTCTTTGCTATCGAAACCAGATAAATTTACGTGGACCGAAACTTTCTAAATACAAGTCGTGAACCCCATATTTTTTCACACCAACGTAGACCCCGTCGAGTCTCCCGTGTACCACTGTGGGTCCGCCTAGACTACTGTGGGTCCGCCTAGACTACTGTGGGTCCACCTAGGCCACTGTGGGTCCGCCTAGACCACTTTGGGCATCACCGACCTAGAGAGTAGTGAATGCTGAAAATTTGTGTGCTTTTGCTTCTCGGAGCCAGTTAATGCTTGCGCATGTGTATGTGTTTTGTGATCCCTCTGGCTGTTTCATTTAATGCGAGCTGCCATTATACCAGCTCCAAGTCCAGTAGGTAATGAAATTTCAACGCCACCCACTCACGGCCACTTACCTATGCACACACACGCTTTTAAACACGTCTACAAAGTGTGACTAGCTAGTAGTTCTTCAGTACTCCTCAGTAGCTTTAGTGCTTTCAAGTTTTCGTTGAAAATTTCATTTTAAATCAAAAGTAGTGTACAAGGCGTGCAAGTACACACTTTGTCCGAACTGGGTTAGATTGAGTTTCAAGTATAAAGGATTTACACACACATACATACATGTATGAATGTAGAAGCTTAAAGGTGGCTGACTTTTTATTGCTTATTGCTGGTATTATTGAAATGCAAGAGTTTCGATGCATTCTTCAACAGAGCAAATTTTTTTTTAATTTTTGTGGTTCACCATTGAAAACAAAATTCAGCTAGGCATTAAGCTTGTTGGACCTCATTCTGTTCCGTAATTATCCCTATTAACAGCCTAAGTTGGGAGTGTTCCAATAGCAAATGAGCTTGTGTGTGCTTCTTTGAACGTTAGGTCAGCGACCCACCTTTTATTAGACAATTCGAAGTAGTTTGTCCGAAGCTAAAGTTTGCACGATGCCAGCTCTACAGCCCCATTTTGAGGAGAGTTTTCAGCCGATAAGCGGGTAACTGATCCTGAAAGTTCGTCAGAGCTTTGCAGTTACCCAACTGTGATATCAAAATTGGTTGGTTCGTAGAAGCGTCACCCGAGCACTTTTCCAGGACCCAATTAGCACTGAGAGCACCATTTTGATACGTTTTAACAGATATGTGCCTTTATGATTGGTCAGTTTCGTCAAACCACTTGGCTTCGTCAATGAATCTATATATCTTTGGAAGGAGAATCTGCCTAGTGTGTCTTTCCTTATACGTGCTAGTGCTGGTCCCTCGCAAATGTAAGACTGTTTCCTTACTTCCCTATAGATTGCAGCTGCGGCACCGTGGGTTGTACGGGAGGTTGCATGTTCGCCAATGGGCAGTTAACCTAACTTCCTTAGAAGTTCGTCTGCCTTTGGTTTGTCATACTGCGGCCAGATATTCTTCTCAAATGCAAATTCAGTTCCCTTTTGATGAGTCCGAGTGGACAGTTTATTGTCTCTGCTTATGATTTATTTAAACATACTCCGACTTTATCCAACTCACCAGCCCTCTCATTTCCATGTATCGTATGTTCCTAAGGCCAGGAACACAGATGAGAGTGTTGTTTATTGACTTGGTCGTCGAGCTTAACGCGCATTTGCACTCTCTTACTTATTTAGATTTTGTTATCGGTGCAATAAGTGCCACTTGGCTATATATGAGAAAATATGTACCTACTACATGCTTTTTGTACCCGTGCCCAGTTTCTCTCTAAAGCTTTGTAGGCCCTCTTAATTTCCAGTACTTCAAAAAAATATTCAGCATCTCATAGAACATCCCCGCACCCATACCGCAGTCCATTTTGGATCCGTCAGTATAGATTTCAGTGAAATTCTCTCCTAAAATTCATTTTGGAGATAACTCTTGCGGGTATGCACCACTTCCTATTTGTTTGTTATTTTAACTCACTGGTATCTATTTCAGTAGAGTGTGAGTATGTTTTTCAATATCAAAACTGTTTCCTATTCGCCCTTCAAAAGACCAAAGTCGATATTGAATAGACTGGGTGCTTTAAATTTGTCGGGCAGGCTTCTAAAGTTATATAATATCCACGTATATTGTGTCCTTCCACTTATTCAAAGTATTTAATCTGACTGTATTACTTCTCGCTTGAAGTTTACGAGTCAGTAGGGATAAAATTAAGTGCAATTACCAGGGCGAGATGGAGGGTTATTAGCCCCCTTTACCTTATTAAATTTGAATCTAGTAGTAGATTCTTCGATTGATGCCTACCAAGCTGTGACTCCACAGAAGATGATCGGGAGAACCACTGTCATGTATATCCAGTGCACTATCTACGGGTTAATGCCCCATTTTTTTACCAATAGCAGAATTACAGGCCAACAGGACAGTAATGGCTTTTCTGATTTTTGCTTCGTAGTTCCGTTTTCAGGGAAGCACCCTGTCCGAGATAATTCCAAGTATCTAACCTCATTCGCTACGCCACTGAACGAACTGACTTGGAGTGAAATAGTTATATACATTTTTTTACAGATTGATGTTGAGTTCGCATGCTGCCCTCAGAACGGGTTCCTTCAATATGTACCGAGTTTTATAAAAGTTCGCCTAAAATCGGAGAGTGGTTATGCCATACGAGCGAGGAGAGAACCCCGCTAGGCGGTGTGCCTCTTGACGCATATCTGATGAAAGATGCTCCCAACATCTCCGGACGTAAACTATTTCTTTTACAAAAAAGAATACTAACGAATTCCGCCAGAGTTTCTGAAACTCTTATTTCAATGTAGGAAGTTGATAATAGCCCCTAAAGCAAGTTTATTGAAAGCCAAGGCTTTTACGATGTTAGCCTTAATTTAATGTAATAGCGCAAAATCTACAGATCTGCGTTCGATGATGTACTAATCCAATAGCCCCTCCAGTGTTTTAAGAAATAAATAACTATAGATTAAAAGGCGTAAGTCATTAGGCTCCTAGTAGAAGGACATGCTTCCCTGTGCCCAAGCTAAGGTTTTGAGAGAGTTTGCTTGTTGAGTATTGAAGAAATAGTTCCAAGAAAACTTTCTACTTTAATATTCTTTGTAAGTTTTTACCTTTTATTCATTTTTATTTTTTCTTTTCATCGTTAAAATCAATTCTGGTTAAATATGCTTTTACATAAATTGCAAATTTCCAAATTTTGTTTGACACTTTAAACCCGAAATTGGGACAAAACAAGGGAATTAATTCCATCGGACTCAACTTGAATTACACAACTAGTGTCAAGAAATTCTGTTGGCCCGTTTATGCTGCCATTCATTAATTTTTAACCAGCAAAATGAGCGACAAACTCAAAGCTGTAGTTTAAAAACTTTCTACGAGATATCAAGAAATACTTACATATTTCAAATGGGCAAACAGAGGAGCGTTCAACTAAAAACAGTCAAACTGCTAAAAAAAAAAAACAGAAAATACGCGACGCTTTCACACTTTTGCAATAACCGGCGACTCGCGCACCACCACCACTACACTAGCGAACAAAGTCAATCAGTGAAGAATAAACAAGCGAAAAAAAAGTAATTGCCATCGTTGCAACAACGCAAGGGCGTTTCGATGCACGATACGGGCGTTGCTAAAGTTTCACATTAACATGTTGATTGAAAAGCTGAACTTGCCATTGCCACCTTTGCGGGGCATAAACATAACGAAAAGGGGGTCAGCGTAAAACGATAGGCTGCAAACATCCGCTATCAGTCATGGCATCGAGTCAGCTGTGCGCCAACGTTAAGCTGGTCTAAGTGCAATATGTATGTATGTACACCAGCTACCAGCTACTCACAAATTCACTCACCTTCATATATATATACGTACATAGTTACTAAGCTGCCTAGTAGTTTATTCATTGAAAGTATGTATAACTTGTTTTTCCGCTCTACTTACAGCTTACGCCCACTGTGTCAACAACATCTACTGTGCGACTCGTACTGTCGCTGCCTACATCAGCAGATATGCACGCGACTGCAATGGCGATGGTGTAATTGAGTGCCGCGATCATATTGCACTGCATCTGCTCGGTCCCAGCGGTTGTGCTCAGTCCGAGGGGGAGTTATCGCCGATATACGTGCGCCGCATGGCGGACTGTTTGGCAGAGTATGAATGAATGAAATTCGAGAATCGCGTGAATGGGGGCGGGTCAACAAGCGGTGAAAGTGTACAACACTCGTTAAAGAAGTCAAGTGTAGTCATCAGTGTTATAAATACATCCATACATATAAATATGTAGTATAACTGCGTATGCATTTAACATCAGACTAATGATACCGAAATGGTAGAAAATCACTATGCTCGTAGAAGCGCCAATATCTTGTATCCTGACACGACTACTACTTATATAAGTACATATATATATGGATATATATGAATGTTCTATGTTTATACATATGTAAAAGCAATAGCCATCAACAAAATTTTTTCGTTGAAAACTTTTCCCAAACTACGTGCATACTTTTTGTGTGGTTATGTGTGTACGTATGGGAGTGTGTGCTATCGAGTGTTTGCGCAAAAAAAATGTACAGCCGAAATTGAACAGAAAGCGTGTAGTATAACGACATGCACTGATTGATTGATGCATTGTCGGCAGGCAAAGTAATTTGTAAAATTTAAAAACAATAGCAGGAAACTAATATAGCAAACATGTTGTAAATGTTAAACGATATTTACGCGGAAAATGGTGAATTTGTATTGCCAAGCAGATTTTTTATATTATTTTAGCATTTAAGATACTTAAGCATAAATAATCAAATACTCGTAGAATATTTTAAATAAAAGTATGCCTTTAAATTATTTTTTGTTTGCTTTATTGAACAATTCCACTATCAGGTTAACTGCAGTTCACAGGGCGATTTTGGCTAATATAGCTGCAAGTTTTTTGTAAGACGATTGCGAGGCAGTAGGCAAGATAGTTTCAAAAATTTTGTTTATTCTGTAACAAAAAATGTTCCTTTGCCAACATTCATAGTAAAAGCTCTTCTAACAGAAAGCATTTGAGCATTCAAACAGTCGCAAACACCGAGTGAGCGAAGCACTGGCGCGCCATTCCATCCATCCTAAATTCGAATCCTCGGGCAAAGGAATATTTTTGATTATTTCTTCGTTTAATTACATTTACTTGTTAGAAATTTACTTTTTATATTTTTTTCTTTTTTTTTTTAATTCAACAATTTTTTTTTTAGAGCTTGAGGCCGTTTTTAATGAAAAACTTATTGTGGAAAAGCAATAATAATTTGAAAAATTGGTAGAAGTGATAGCTATTTCGGAAATCACCACATTAAATAACCTAGCGATATATCAAAGATTTCGTATTTATCTAAATTACCGTTATATGAGATGTGGGCGTGCTTATTGTCCGATTTTTTAAATTTTCAGCCGTTTGGTATTTTGTATCAAGGCCAACCAACTGTGCCAAGTTTGGGAGAAATGTATGGAGCTGTTGCCAACATATACAGGCGGCTTACTTTGCGAGCAGAAATTATTTAATTTCAAAAATAAAGCAAAAAAATTTCAGATATCGGCTCAAAAGGAAAATTTAATAAGTGCACAAATCCACGGCATAAGTGTCACTAATTTGCCTTACAATTTCAAACGAATTTAATTCGCACACCCATTCGGAAATCATTACGGAAGAACCTCCCGTGCACTATATATTGTATCTCTTTTCTGGTTGTTGCAAGCATAGTAACTCATTTTCATGAAAGCGATATAGCGAAGCGGATGTAATGCAAAGTTTCGAGGCCAAAAGTTGAAACTGGCGACCACAATGAAAATTTGCCACCTTTTATGGCATTAATATTTGATGTACGCGGCGACTAAGGTGCCAGCAGGGAAATTTACAGTCACAACAAAGCAAATGTAGGTGCATATATATATATAGCGCTTATCATGATTATAATTTATATATTTTAATTTTAATTACTTTTGTATAAAAAATATAGTTTATTCTAAATCCAAGTTTCAGTATTTGTTGAATATCAAAAAAAAATAAATAATCAACAAACTTTCGTAAAAATGTCGAGCATTTAAATTACATTTCTTAGAAATACTTTCAGTTGCAGTTTTGTAGGACGTTGATTTTTCGCAACTTTTTGTTGAAGGCGTTGCTCATTTTCTGCATATAAAAAAAATGTTCGAACATACTCGTACATACTCCGAATGGAAGAAAAATACTGAACTCGTCAACAAAAAAAACATTGGCAAAAAAAACGATAAGTTTCAGCAGCTTCAAACCTTAAAAATTTGAATGGGCTATAAAACTGCATACTCAAAATTTTTCTAAGAAATCTAATTAAAAATCTCGAAATTTTTACGAACATATTTTGATATATATTTTTTTTTATATTGCACAATGTTTGAAACTTAAATATTTGCGGGTTTCATTAAAGAAGAAACTATATTTATATAAAAAAAAGTAACATAAATAGTAAAATCTTATCAATGTATGGGTGTCGTATATGTAGTTATGGTAAGCACTATATGTAGACACATGTTCGTTTATATACATACACACTTTGTAAGTGCGGATGTTTTTGGAACATTAAGGAGTATGTAAATATGTATGTATGTAGAATGTAACAAGCGTGTTTAGTGTTGACAACCAACAGCAAATATCTACGTAAACAGTCAGCCTTCCTGAGGGTATCATCGAAACATTATTTGTACATGTGTTCTATATTAGGGAGGTGCCTAAAATCTCAATATCTAAATTTTGGCACATTTTTAATTTGTTCGCCAAATAAATTTAGTAATCAATATTTAGCCACCAAAGATTGACATTTGTTTATTCTTTTTTTTTTGGAATAAGTGCAGTATTTTGCAAATTTTTACCAAGTTCTTAAACACTGGTTTACAAGTACTTGATTATTTAAAAAAACGCAAGAAACTCATGTGTAGGGAAGAAATAGTAAGACCTTCCTGAGCTCAAAACCTTTTTTTTTGTAATTTTTTTCTTTGGGCAGTTTTTTGAGATAAAGGTGTGTTTTCTGAAATGTCCGATCAATGACAATTAGTACTTCGTTAGAAAGAAAATTAAAATACGCGTCAAACGACATACCAAATCAGCATTTTGTAAAATTTTTTCGATTTAAAAAAATTGAAATATTTTAAAAACCCTACGGGCGCCGTAATAATTACTAAAAATTTTAAAATTTTACGGCACGTATTTGCTACGTACGTAGATCAACAAAATTTATAAGTTGATACTATTATGGACTACCCTAGTGTATATGTATATTTATATTTGCGTGGTTTTGTGCCTTAAAGTGAAACATTTAAATCTGAGAAGCATCCCAACAACAAAAGGCTGGCAAAGTAAAGCATTTGCTGAAATTTATTTTAGCGTCTTTTGTTGTTGATTTTGTTTATTTTTTTTTTCTTTTTTCAAACATCGGATACTTTTGCTCACGTTTACATAGAAGTCAACCGGAAAATTATCATCGAAAACCATAAATTGCCACCAAGTGGCGTTATCACTTACGCATTTGGGGGCTATTTATGCGAGACAGATTTTCATACACGCACACACACACACACACACACACAAGCATATAAACGCACTAGCATGTAGTATTTTAGGTGTGAACCATTGAAGCTTAAATGATTTTTAGAGGGCAAACTGTATCTTTGCTTTGCTGGCGAAAATTTTTGGTTGTTTGAAGGTATCTACCAACCAACTAATACCCACCGTGTCAAATGTGCTTCGGTGTATTAGGAAGAGGATGATGATTGGGTTCATAAAACGCTGAGTGAGAAAAAGAAGATAAAAATTGCGAGCATTGAAGTGGAAAGGCTACAGGTTTATGAAGGTGGAAATAGGCAAAAAGTGTATGCCGATATTGGCAGTGCGTTTCGATGTTTTAAAATTTGGCAGAAATTTAAACTTGCACGTACATATATTGAACTAATACAATAAAGTAGAATTAAAAAATTTTCTAAGTACTCTTTAATATTTCATATATGTATAGATAATATTTCGCTAGCATAGAGTGAAAAGTTGTTAAGTCCACATTTTGATGGAAAAAGAAAGAAAATTAAAAATCCATCATTTCCAAAACACCGATCTACTTCTTTTATTTCTGCCCATTTCTATGCAGTGAAATGAAAATTTGCTAAGCCCAAAAAATACCAAAAAAATTTCTTAACTAAACGTGGAACTCTTCCAATTCGAATGGATTTAAGTTTTGCTTTCAATACGCAAAATGGTGTTATTAAATTTTGCAAAATATTTGAAAAAAAAAACTGAGTTTGGGAAGTTCTACTTCTCTCCTGTAAAATTTAAAAAATTGTACTTAACAAATTTTCACTCTAAGCTAGCGATATGTATTTTACAGTGAAACATATGCTGCTGTTTAGCCAAATAGCTTTACATATGGAAATTGTCAGAAATAAAGGTAAAATGTGTATGTGTGCACAATCCAAATAAACGTTGCTCTACCAAATATACATACATACGTATGTGTATATGCCGCCATTCAAGTGTAAAACTTTTAGACCATCCACAAATCAAAATGTTATTTATCCCAAATCCGAGGTTACCCAAATCTCCATATGTCGGTGTACCCTTTTGTTTTTTTTGGTGAGCTTAGGCGCCGCAAAGTGGAGCAAAAAAGGTTGCTGTGGACAAATCAATTTTGAGAGCCGATTTGAAGTTTATTTTTTTTTTTATAAAAGATAAATTAAAATTCGCGTCGATCTATCCGTGGCGATTTTTCTTAAATACATATCAGTATAGATGACAAATTAAAACCGTTTTTTAATTAAATGCATCCTATGGAAAAATGTTTATGAATATTTTCTTAAATAATTGCAGGCATTTGAAATTATTCTCAAATATTTTCCAAAAAATTTTACGCATTCAAACGTAAATTTTTTTTTATTTCATTTTTCAACATAAATAAATAAAAAACTAGAGCTTTTTTAAAAAATCGTTACTGATAGATCGACTCGAAATTCCATTATCTCTTATTTAAAAAAAAAGAAACATGAAATCGGTTCATATTTAGGCTCTCAAAATCGATTTGTCCACAGCAACCTTTTTGCCCCACTGTGCGTCGTGACTTAAGTGCAATAGACAGGAACGAACAACAGCCGTCACAAATTGTGTTAAAACCTATTGACAGCAAATTTATTTTGTGTGTGTTTCGTTCATGCGATTCGAATGTTTTTATTTTTGCATTTTAAAAAAGGCTTTATGCAGCTTTTTTATACATACATAGGTTGTTTAGTCGCAAGTAGATTAGCATAGTTAACCCTTTATTTGTTAAATTTATGCACAAATGTGACATTGAGTGCTTAAGTGTGTCAAATTTTACAATAACTGTGAGTATGCACTCGTACATTGACATAAAATCCTTTTTATGATATATGTATGTAAATAAAAATGTTTACGTACATATGTATGTATGTATGTGAATATGGATTTACTTAATACACTCTATAACGACACGTGCCTAACGCACAAAGACGAGTTTTAAACTGGTGAAATTCCTAAAGGAGTCTGGTAAGTAGGCAGCGGAGAAATTAATTCCCACCCACTGCCTCTTGTCTTAAGTACATTGGGCAGTAAAGCCTGAGTGCTTGGAACATTTGTTTTTGGTTTTTCCGACCACCCACAATTCCATTACATGCC